TATGATTTGGAGCATCATTTTGAATTTGTCATTAAATCTACAGCATGTCAATCCACTTATGAATGACCACTCAGTCACCTGGGCTGCAAGATTTAAGTTGGTTCATATGAATGCCAGTGGCATTGCTTCCTCCTGCTCTTGGCTGAGGAAACAAATATGTCTTTATCCTGGGATCCCAGGGGCTGGACTGCATTGTTGTGAAGCTAAGTTTAGAAGTAATTCACTAACTTTAGCTATGTTGTTCTGGGCTCCCCAGTTCAAGAGGGACAGGGATCTACTTAAGAAAGTCTAACAGAGGCTACAAGGATGATTAAGGGACTGGAATACCTCCCTTACAAGAAAAGGCTGAGAGACCTGGGGCTTTTCAGTACAGAGAGAAGACTGAGGGCAGATCTAAATAGTGTCTATAAATACATGAGGGCTGGGCATCAAGAAGGCAGAGACAACCTCTTTTCACTTGTGCCCTGTGATAGGATGAGGGGCACTGGATTAAAACCCTAGCACAGGAAGTTCCTCAATACGAGGAAGAACTTGTTTACTGTGAGGGTTATGGCACACTTGGATCAGGCTGCCCAGAGAGGTTGTGGAATCTCCTTCTCTGGAGACTTTCAAGACCCATCTGGATGCCTTTCTGAATGATCCACTCAGTTTTTGGTCCTGCTCTGGCAGGGGGCTTGGACTTGATGATCTTCAGAGAACCCTTCAAACCCTAATATTCTGTGATTCTGTGATGTCTCAGCTGTGAAAAAGATAGCATTTAAAATCTGAAAATTCACTCTTTTTGCTGCTTAGATTTTCTGCACTGGATTTAATGCTCAGCAATACCTTCCCCCCCTTCCCCCCCACCCCCCCCCAAGATGGGCCACATAAAAAATGCCAGATTAAAAAACCAAGCACTCGAGCTCCTGATAACTTAATACCTCAACATTTTCTCTTCAAAGTACAGTAGATGCTATTGAGGCTTTCTTGATTGTGTGGCCATTACAGATGAACCCTTGCTTGTTTCTAAAGAAGGAGGACTGCAGCTACTCCACAAACCCTTTTTGAAAGTCATAATCCATACCAAACGTGGCTACTAGTTCAGTGTCTTAAAACTTTATAATCATGGCATTATTTTCCACTAAATATATTTTCACAATTCACAGGGTTTTAAAAGCATCAAAATAGAAATGTCAAAGTTAGGTTAGATTAGTTAAGACCTTTCAGTAGTTTAAAATGGTATTTCCAATTATTCAGCAATATGATAAACACATTAAAATAAACAGGAAATTTCAATCTATGATGTTTTATCTATTCTAGTAAAGACCTGTTACTGATATAAAAAAAACCCCAAACATCTGCAATATTAAGAAAATGGACCAGCAGACAATATTGAATATACAATAATTTACAACTTGATTGGGTTTTTTTCAGTTTTAAGACAGAGTATGCTTCAGTATTTGTCACTTGTGCATGTTGACAGGGATAGTGAGCTTCTCCTCAGGTGAGGGATAATAGTTACTGCCACTGTCACTTTCATCTCTCTCTAAATCTCAAAATCCATCACTAGGTCAAGGAAATCCTCCTCTAATATCCAAGTCCTTCCCTGGGAATAATTCAGAGAACTGCACATGGGACTGGCTGGTTGAGAAATTAATAAGGGCTTTATGTATGAAATGTTGATTATATTTAGCTTTCCAAGATGGCTCTGCTTATTTAGCAAAGAAACGCAGCTGATTTAAAGGACTGAAATCGTTATTAGAAGCAGCAGATTACATTGCCAAGGTAAGTATGCACACTGATGAAAGTGCTTGTTGCAGAGCTGCTAGGGACTCCTTGCATGTCAGAAAAGAGATTTTCCTGTAACACATTGCATATTTTAATGCTCAGCAAGGTTTTTTTTGCTGCTTTTTGTAAAGAAAAAAAAGTAGATTTTTATATGATGCCAAATTATGTTCTGGAGTATCTGTACTCAAAGCATTTTCTCCCTGAAAGTAATGAGAAGTGAATATAGTGGGCCAGTAAGAAAGTGAGAAATAGGTGAAAGAAAGGAGCAGAAGAGATGGAAGCTGATCTTTCATTTACTACAATCCTGTAAAAGGATAATACTGCCTCTGTTTTCTTACAGCCCTAAAGATTGTGAAGTATAGTGATTAATACAATCAAGTTTTAGGTCATAATGTTTGAAAACTGTTGTTTATCGTAGTTGTCGATTTTAAAATTCAAAGCTAGTAAAAGTAAGTTATTTGTGGTGATACAGTAAAAACAGTATGGTAAAAAACTAATATACTTCTAAAACAAGCATTTATCTGTATTAACTTTTAAATTTACTCCCTAAATATGATAGTGAGGAAAAGAACACTGGATATTTAAAATAAATGCGGTGGAATAATTTGTGACAATGTATCAGTTTAAGAAAAATATGTGTGGCAATAGAGTAAGAAACTTGGCAGTGCTACAATTTAGTAAAAACTCTCTGAAATACTGTTTGAGAAATCTTTATGATATAATTTTAAAATACATTAAGGTGAGTTCTGGACCCACAGAGTTCTAATGTTCCCAGTGTGGGTTTTATCACAGAAGTGCTGTAACCACAGTCCCTGAATGAGCAGGAGTTACTGTGTCCAACTTGCACTGGGCAGATGCTGCATTAGCATTTATGTGTCCCAGACTTAAGAATTGAAAAACTCCCCACTATTTGCTTTGAGGCTAATGGGATTTGACGATATTCTTGTGCTACATATCCTGACTGATTGACAAGGGAGAAAACCTGGCACCACAGTCACCCAAGCTTGACTTTCAGATTTAGTATTTTGAGACTAAAGAGTAGTAAATACTTCTAATTTCCATATGCAGGTGATTTTGAGACATAGTTAACACCCATGCAATACTTCCAGTGCTTCAGTAAGATGAAACCTTCAGTTCTGTCCCAAATGGCAGCTCCTTTTCCCCAGCAATTCCTATGCATGGCTGCCACAGCTCCTTCAACAGAACACAAAGCACACCTCAGTGGACACTGACAGACCCAGAGGAATTTGGCTATTTGCAAAAATGCACAGAAAATGTTCTCTACCTGAAGAACAGATGAATGAATAAAAGACAGATTTTTGCCTAAACTCCAGGCAAAGTATTCTGGATGGGTTTGGATTTTTCTACATGTCCTTTTTTACCACACTTCTCATGGTCTTTAATCTCTATCACTTTTGTTAGTATGGCTGGATGGCCCAAAGTTGAAGATGGATTTTTTTTTTTTTTTCTCTTGAAACTAACAAGGGCTCAAAGAGCAAAGATACACATGAAAAATTAGTTCCTATGCACAAGTGATGGTATTTGGACTCCTAATGTGAATGGGCTGGTTTAGAGACCCTCTGTTGGAGGAATGATTTTGGAATGTGATTGGAAGGAGCTGGACACAGCTTTATTTTGCACAATTATTTGAGAGCTGTGTGGACTGCAGTGTGGCTCTATGGAGGATATAGGTTAAATCAGGATAAAATTTTGTGTGCCAGCATTAGCACAGCTTTCAGAGTGCCTGTAAGCAGATATAAAGCTGCTTAGTTCAACCTGGTGTACTTTCAATCTCCACACTTTCAAACACAATTTATCCTTGGAGTAAGTCAGTGGAAACCCTGTGAAAGCTTTTAGGCACCTGGTGAATCTAACCTAATGTTCACTAGTCTTAGAAACTGAAAATCTTTTTATGTGACATCTTAGACCTGATTCTGGGTCTGAAGCATTTAAAGACTGACTACCAATGTTGATCTACATTTAGGACTACTCATAGTAGAAAACTCCTTTATCTTACTTTATCAATCTTTCTCTTTCTACTCGTAGAATGTTGTATATTGCTGAATTATTTTTTGCACCATGTGTCATTCATGTCTGATGACTGCTGGAAACATGGGTTTCCTCTCCTATTTGCTGTATAAATTATGTTTTGTTTCATTGACTAATAATGAAAGGCATGTAAGTCTGGCAGTAACTGTGGAGCTGTATCATTCTGCTTCCTTTTTGTGCTGTGCTTGACTACAGAATGGAAGTACTTTCTTTAAGATTGATTACTTCTATGGCATTTGACTTTACCTAACAGTGGTGCAGCTACTCATTTGTCAGTTTGTGGCCTACAGGCATTTCTATACTCTCATTTTACATGCACAGGGATCTTGTTACTGCAGTGAATAGCATCTGTTTTATAATCCTACCTAAAAAAGGTCCTGTTAAGAGCAGATCACACCTGTAGACACAACTCATGCCAAAAGAGTTGGCGGTCTCCTTGATGAGACATAACTCACAAAATTCTAAGAATAGTGGTGAAAAGGGAGAGAAGCAGTTATGAACATAACAACATTTTCTATTTTTTAGCATTGAGATAAGCAAAACAGACATGAATGGCCACTAACATTTCTGTTGAGGTATTTATGTCCAACTTGCTATATAAGTAAGGAGATTCTACTATATCAGCCTTCAAGTTCCTTTTACAGAACCTACTCTTTGATCTCAACAGAGTATAACTCTCACATGTCATACATACTGACACTTCTTTGGACATCCTACCAATAAGTGCTTTCTAGTCTGTTTTTCAGGATATCAGCTGTGCATGAATTTATTTATCCATCCTGTTACAATAAATTATGAGCATTTGGTTCAAAACAAAATGAAACAACAGTAGATGTTTCAAACCCAACTGTCCAAATATCTTCAAGGTATGTGACTAGTCTCAGGAGAAAGACCTAAATTAATGCTTCCTCTAAGAGAAAGATATGTTGAACATTCTCTTTACCAGCAGTTGCCTAGTCATTCAGCACACTGAAGCACCCACAGTGCCCATTCTTGTCTGGTGTGAATGTCATGGGAGAGAGAAAACTGAAAATACTATTGTTGGTTTTGGGGGAAGCCAGGATATAAAGGATTCATCTTTAGGAAAAAATAAAAACTGCTTGATACTTCTGCTAGTTGTGAAATGTCTTGATTCTTCTTACAATCAGTCTTCCTCAATCACCTAAGGTAAGACAAACTTGACCATGAAGGTAGGAGTCATCGAAACCCATCACTCCCATACAATTGTTCCCAGTGTGGTAGTGCAAGACACCAGTGAGGACCCTGGACCAATCGATGGAGGGGAAAACAGGTATGCCAAATTTACCATATTGTGTCTGTTTGTGGTGTGTTTTTTTTTCTTTGGTAATTTCCATGGAATTAACTAAGCATAGATGCTCATCATCATCTAATTTTCTTTACCCACTATTAATAAATTAAGTTTTAAAGATTGTTATATATTTCTAATTGTATATATTTAGGAGGATAAAAACTGTGCTCTTTCAATTTCCTTAGAAAACTTTGCCTGTGATTAAAATGGTGAGGAACAGTCAATGACAGTTTGGATTAAATGTTGGGGGTTTTTTTATGTATTTCAGCAGATATTATATAACTGTGTTGTTTTGCTGTTTCCTAGGCAACAGTATCTACCTGGTGCATTTGCACGGTACAATATTAACAACAATAGTAATAAAGATGAGTAAGTATCTTTGCCATTTCATAAAATGAGAGTACTGCCAAATGGGTTGTTTATGCAGCACTCAAAAAAATTTAAATATATCTATTAATTTATTTATAAACAGAGATGTCATTCAAGTAATCCTAAAAGAGACTGCATGTACATTTGACATTCATGCACATAAATTATGATCATTCTCAATACCAAAGTTATTAGCATTATATCTATTAATTTAAAATAAAAGTAGTTCTATGTGAATACAATAAGCAAAAATGTTTTTCAGTCCAAACACCTAAGTATGATGTTATACAGATGATTCTAATAAATAAATGTGGAAGCAATGGCTATTGCTTATCCCATGAGCCTGTCATATTCTTCCTTTCCTCAGAGAGAAGAAAAAGAAAAAAGAAAAGAAGAGGTAAGATAAAGAATAATAATGCTACTGTTTCTTAGAAATAGTATTAAATGTCTTAGACATTATTTATTTGCAAATTTGTTTCAACTTAGTCTGTAACAACATTGTAAATCTATTTCTTAGCAAGTCAGAAAAAAAAAAGGATGGAGAAACAAAAAAGGAAAAAAAGGAGAAAACAAAAAATAAAGATAAGTCCAAGAAGAAAGAAAATAAAGAAGAGTAAGTATTTTTCATTTAGGTCCTGCTGTCTTAGTCTAATAAAATTGCTTTTGATGTAAAACTGAGTCAATTCATGGACATGCTGTAAACAAGATGCTTATACTCCAATGAATGAGCATACAGACTGCTGCTGTTCTCCCTGGAGTGGAGTTGCTCTGATTTAACTTCCTGTGTGGACAACAGGCATATGCATGCATGGAATTGACCTGAAAAAAAAAAAAAAATCCTAGAAAAATCTCATTTGGATTCTGATAATCCAATGTTTTTGGATACCACTTTGCAGCAAAAGATGTGCCAGTGTAAAGCAATCTCTTCCATACATAAAAGCACCTACAAGCAAGTAAAACCTTCTATGATCTTAAATTGCTTATTTTACCTTTAGCTTGGTAAATTCATAATTTTCTGGCCAGGGAGGAGAAACTTACAATAGAGCGTTAGGAACGTGTGTAGAATGTTTTCTTGTTCTTTGGTTTCTTTACCTAAACTATGCCAATGTTTCACCTTTCTCAGAGCAAGACTTTTCCCTGTAAGAGAGACACAATTTGTCTCACTTGTTTAAACATTAGTAGTCACATCATAATTTTATTTTTTGAAAGATTATAAATCACTTATCAGACAAGACAGTTAATTGGGCAGGAAAAAACCTCAACTTTAAACAGCTGAAATTACATGTGCCAAAATAAACTTAAGTGGGACTGCCAAGCTGACTTTGCTAGCAAAATTTGGCTTCTACAGCTTGCATCCTAAGTCACACTTAACAAGCAGCTTCACGTTCTCTATGCATGCAAGCAAGGAAGCTTAACCTTAATAAAGATCATCTATTTTACAATGACAATATATGGAATGCTTCATTCCTCAAAATTTTTTGTGTTTTTTAACTCTCTCATTAAATCTCCTTTCTTCCTTAGGAAGAAGAAAGATATTTTCACTATAGACCCAGCAGGAAATATATATTATAACTGGTTGTTTTGCATCACAATGCCTGTCATGTACAACTGGACCATGATTATTGCTAGGTGATGTACTCCTTTAATGACTACAGAAAACTTCTGGCAAATCACAGTATCCCTTAATAGAAAAGAAATATATATATAAATTAATCACTGATTTAATGCAAGTGTTTAATTTTCATTTATTGGTAACTTACTTTTGTCTTTTCCTATACAGAGCCTGTTTTGATGAGCTGCAGCACGACTACTTGTTGGCATGGTTTATTATAGATTACATATCTGATGCCATCTATGTTGTTGACATGTTTGTACGGACAAGAACCGGTAAATATACTCAATGATTAAGTATTGCTCTTCATATATTTGTGTCAGGTAGTTTAAAATATTCAGAATTCTACTCTTGTTATCCGGGTACCCTTGATGAGGTGTAATATTGAAAGACATCAAGACAGATCTCTGAAAGACAGGAGTTTGTGACCTGTAAAAGCAGGAGAAACCGACGTATTACTCAAAGAATACATAAAGCTTGGGGTGAGCCAAGCATGAGGTATGCTAGATACAAGCTGCTTCTGCCTGCAGATGACTCAACAAGAGAAAATAAACATGCAATGTGGCCAAGAGAGGATCAGGCATTCTGAAAATTCAGCACATAAATCTGGATTTTTTTCTTCAAGGAGATTCAAGTATATACTTGATTTTCAAGACCATTGAGCAAGCAAGATATCCAACTAACTTCAGCTGCAACTCTTTCTTTTAAAGTCTACACCCACCTACATTCAAAGCTACTGAGTAGATGCATTCAATATGAAACTGAAATTCCCATGTTCAAATTCTCTCCCCCATTAACCACCCTTCCTACAGCCAGTGGAGTTTTTCTAGGGGGTTGGGGCTTTTTTCATATGTTCACCATAGTGGAAAAGTGGAGGGAAAGAATCAGAGCTAGAAATGTTTCTTTTACAAAGTTGTACACTTTAGCTCAAGCTGAACCATACAGCACTAGGCTGAATATTTTGAAATAGGAAATTGCTTATTAAAAAGTAACAGAAGTTACGTATCATCTGAACTTGCACCCAAATTATTTTTCAGAGTAGATTTGAATGGACATTAAACACAACACAGCTGAAGTTTTAACATTTTTTACTATTTTCAACTTTATTTTAGGTTACCTGGAGCAAGGTCTTCTGGTGAAAGAAGAAGAAAAGCTTCGAGAGAAATATAAGTCATCTCTGCAATTCAAATTAGATTTTCTCTCCATCATACCAACTGATCTCTTATACTTTAAGTTAGGACTGAACTACCCGGAATTAAGAATAAACAGACTACTCAGAGTAGCTCGGATGTTTGAATTCTTCCAGCGAACAGAAACAAGGACAAACTACCCAAATATCTTCAGGATCTCTAACCTTGTCATGTACATTGTGATTATTATTCACTGGAATGCCTGTGTGTATTACTCGATCTCCAAAGCCATTGGATTTGGGGCTGACACATGGGTCTACCCCAACATCTCTGACCCTGAATTTGCCCGTCTGACTAGAAAGTATGTCTACAGTCTTTACTGGTCAACACTGACCCTGACTACTATTGGTGAAACCCCCCCTCCTGTAAGAGATTCTGAGTATTTCTTTGTGGTCATTGACTTCTTGGTTGGAGTATTGATTTTTGCTACTATCGTTGGTAACGTGGGCTCTATGATCTCCAACATGAATGCTGCCAGGGCAGAGTTTCAAGCAAGGATCGATGCTATCAAGCAGTATATGCACTTTCGGAATGTGAGTAAAGACATGGAAAAACGAGTTATAAAGTGGTTTGATTACCTGTGGACAAACAAAAAGGCTGTAGATGAAAGGGAAGTCTTGAAGTATCTGCCAGATAAACTAAGAGCAGAGATTGCAATCAATGTTCACCTGGAAACACTAAAAAAAGTTCGGATTTTTGCAGACTGTGAAGCTGGTCTGTTGGTGGAACTGGTTTTGAAACTCCAGCCACAAGTGTACAGTCCTGGGGATTATATTTGCAGAAAAGGAGATATTGGACGAGAGATGTACATTATCAAGGAAGGAAAGCTGGCAGTAGTCGCTGATGATGGAATTACCCAATTTGTGGTCCTAAGTGATGGCAGCTATTTTGGAGAAATCAGCATTCTTAATATCAAAGGTAGCAAAGCTGGCAACCGAAGAACAGCCAATATTAGAAGTATTGGATACTCAGACTTGTTTTGTCTGTCTAAAGATGATCTCATGGAGGCTTTAACAGAATATCCAGACGCAAAGGCTATGCTGGAAGAAAAAGGCAAGCAAATCCTAATGAAAGATGGGTTGCTGGACATTGAAGTTGCCAATTTAGGAAGTGATCCTAAAGATTTGGAAGACAAGGTCACCTACATGCAAGGAGCAGTGGACAGATTACAAACAAAGTTTGCCAGGTTGTTGGCTGAATATGACGCTGCACAACAGAAGCTGAAAAAAAGACTTACAAAAATTGAGAAAATATTGAAACCAGTTATAGAGCAAGAATTTGCAGACTTAGACGAAGCAGATCCATTGACAGACAAACCTGGAAAGGCAGAATAAAGTACTGGAGGATGTCAATAAGACTTATAGTCATATCCTGTGTGGGGCTGAATACATTTCTTTCAAATCTTTGTAGGACCTGACTATTAATTATTAAAAACTATTTGTTGCGGAAATGTAATTTCCTACAAGAGCACATATTTGGCAAGTTTTGGCAGGAAAAGGAAGATTTGAGGAAGAGGATGGAAGAGAACACCTTGCTCTTGCATAAACAGGTGGTATTATCTGCTAATGCCCTATGTACTCGTTATGTAACACCACTCTACAGCAAAGGGGTTCAATCTACACACGGCCCTCTGCTGGCATGTACTGAAAGTTTTGCTGACTATGTAAAAATAATTTCTTTTTGTCTACTTACAGAAGGAAGGAAAGGTTTGGTAACTGTTACGTTATTTGAAGTCTATATAGGAACGAACTATGGGGGGTTGGACTAGATCACCTTTAGAGGTCCCTTCCAACCCAAGACATTCTATGATTCTATGATTTTATTCTATGATATTAAATTTGTGTATAAACAAACACCTTTTAATATCTCTTGACTAACATGAGATTAAATAAGTATGGAATATTATATAAAGAATGAGTATATCTACAATGCAGATGTGACTACCAAAGGCTGTAAGATTTGGAAATTACTACTTCACTGGGTCCACATTGGCCAATTTCTTGAAATGTAAGTGCCCAATTTTTAATGGTCCTTTTTTTTTTTTTTCATACTACATGCAAAGTTTGGGATAGAGAAGAAAATACAATTTTTGCAAGCATTGGTATGACAAATGTGGTTGGCTCAAAGTCTAGCTGTTCTTTCCACAATAATAAGAAATACATAATATTGAAGACTGCTCTGATCCATGTAATAATATGGCTGCTGAATATGGACCATCATGTTTTTAAGATCTGTGCTTAGAAATTTTTACATCCGTGATATAACAATTGTGGATGCTGGCGTTGGACTAGATCACCTTTAGAGGTCCCTTCCAACCCAAGACATTCTATGATTCTATGATTTTATTCTATGATATTAAATTTGTGTATAAACAAACACCTTTTAATATCTCTTGACTAACATGAGATTAAATAAGTATGGAATATTATATAAAGAATGAGTATATCTACAATGCAGATGTGACTACCAAAGGCTGTAAGATTTGGAAATTACTACTTCACTGGGTCCACATTGGCCAATTTCTTGAAATGTAAGTGCCCAATTTTTAATGGTCCTTTTTTTTTTTTTTCATACTACATGCAAAGTTTGGGATAGAGAAGAAAATACAATTTTTGCAAGCATTGGTATGACAAATGTGGTTGGCTCAAAGTCTAGCTGTTCTTTCCGCAATAATAAGAAATACATAATATTGAAGACTGCTCTGATCCATGTAATAATATGGCTGCTGAATATGGACCATCATGTTTTTAAGATCTGTGCTTAGAAATTTTTACATCCGTGATATAACAATTGTGGATGCTGGCAAAGCACAAAGGGCAGACGTGACAGAAAGAGGCCAGACTCTCCCAGCAGCATCTTCTGTAGCTGCTGTTGGTGAAAAATATTACTAAATAGGTTCTTTTTTTCATTCATGGGGTATTTCTTTCTTCTGCACCTACCTACCATTAAGATAGCCAAAGCTACTGTTTCATATGTCAGATACGTTTTCAGCTGCTTTAAAAAGCATTCTCTCAGTAGATTTCCCCCCCCCAATTTATGTCTTTTCCCATTAGCAAAAACTGTTTTTATTAGTTGTGATCTCAGCTGAGTGTTTCCAGCTGGGTATTTTCAGTAGACTTTGATCACAGGCACTTACTGTTGGCAGTTTGGTGACAGGGAGTGAAGAAAGGAACTGAAAGGAGAGAATGGATAGTTCTGTATTCAGGACAATTTTATTATCCCAGGCAATTGGACTGCCACTCTTAAAAAATACATATGTAAATACTACTATCACTTAATAATATCTCTATGCTTCCATTCTCCTCCTTAGAAAGATGGAGAGTAAGATGGAGATACTATAAATTTGATCTTTTGTAAAGTGCATTCATTTCTGGCTGTTATATTTTTTGTATCGTTGATAGGTTTCCAGCATACCAGAGATCTATAAATAACTACTGATTTCATTGCAAGGATTAAATGTTATGAAGTAATTAAAGCACAGGATATATATGGAACAAGGATAAATGTGAATACGAAACAACTGTCCATTCACTGTTGATCCTTGTGCTTTGAATGGCATAATGTACTGGTGTGGGGAAAATGAAGGCCACCATTTAATTAAAGACACCATCTTTGCACAGAAGGACAAGCATTATTCTGGCATTTAACTATATTGTGAATGTTGGACTTTGCAATCATTCTTCCAGTTTGGGTCTTGAATAGAATTTGCAACCTGTATGTCAGCAGCATCTGACAGGGCTGTGTCGTGTTTCATTAGGGACTTAGGAAGCACTTTTTTTCCCTTTGTGTTAGAGCTTTGTATTAGAGAAATGTGTGATGTGAGTTTTAATTAATAAAAGCAGAGATTTGCTGTTCTTATTTTTTTGTTTTTTTGGTTTTTTTTTCTCTGATCCTTCAATCTACAACACAAGTTGCAGTCAGTAGCTGCCTCTTTCCTGAGAATAAAAATTTAAAACACTTCAAATCAGAATTGACCTCCAGTAGTTTAGTTTTCAGACTCATTATTTGAAATCTCGTACTATTTACATTTTTAAAAGCAGGTTTGCTGAGAAAGCTCTGAATGCAGAGTTTCCTCCTGGCACAGCAAGGCAGCACCTGAGAACTATCAGAAACTGCCAATGAAATCTTTGTTACGCCAATTTGCAGTTATGAGGACTTCTCAGGGGGTGCACAGGCTCCTCAGGGTGCGTTTTGGTGCAGTGACCCGCAGCTGGTGCTGCATCCAAGCTTCTAAGGATGCTTGTAAAATCTCTCATACGCTGTAGAAGAGTTGGGAGGAAAAAGCATCCAAGAGCTGAATAAATGGCTGCTAGAAAAAGAGCTGAAGTCCCCGGCGGCCACAGCAGCAGGCAAGGAGATGCTCCAGCAGGGAGCCAGGAGGCGGTGCCAGCCCGGGCACCTGCAGCCACGGCAGGGACCGCCCCCCGCGGGGCGTGCTGGGAGCTGTAGTCCTGCTGCCGCGGGGAGCGCCGGGAGCTGTAGTCCTGCTGCCGCGGGG